GGTGTAAACGAACATCTCAGCTCTGGAAAGATTGTTGGACCTCAAGAAATCGAGCATGGCATCTACTTCATCCTGAGTGGTTATGAGATATTCCTCGTGCCACAACGACCCGCCTTCTCTGTTTGGATATCGATACACCATACGATCAACACTTCTCGTGCCATCCATGCAAGTAACGTTAGTACACATTTGATAGAGGTCTTCAAGCATCGGTCTGGTAGCGACCTTTATTTTTTGAAAATTGCACCGACGTAGGTTACCCCCTTTCCGCTCTCTTCCGTGTAACCATTCCACCGTAACCCAAGCGTGAAATTTTGGAATGCCATCTGCAAAAAAATAGTAGTTCAACTAATATCATAAAAATCACAATTCACAATTCACAATAAAAAGTAATACAAAATAAACTGACGAGTTAACGTTAACCGCAAAAACACTAGAGAAATAGGGAGCTACAACAGAAAATTGAAAAGGGAGAAGGAGAGGTGTGAAGAGAAGAGATTTCTCGGGCTGTCTTTTATAGACAAAATCATCAATGAAAACCGCACCTTAGAGGTGCGGTTTTCATCTGCCATGCAGCCCCACGTCTGTCAATCTGCATTGCTACATGTTTGGTGTCGGAAAATAATTGACACACAAACCGCATGGGGGGGGGGGTGCGGTTTGTGTTTCCAAAACCGCACTTTGAAGGTGCGGTTTGTTTTGGAGAAGCAAAACCGCATCCCCAAAGTGTGGTTTTGCTAGGTCAGGACAAGACCGCATCTGGGCCATGTAGTTTGGTTAGGTCAGAAACACAAACCGCATGGCCAAGATGCGGTTTTGGCCCAGAATGCAAAACCGCACCTTAGGGGTGCGGTTTACATACAAACCGCCCCAGGGGGGTGCGGTTTTTAAAAAAGGGTGCTATTTTTGTAATTTCTATGGACGGGGTGCTATTTTTGTAAAATTTTTTTAAAAGGTGTTATTTCTGGAAAAATCCCAAGGAAGAAGATGAGAAACAATCAAACAACAGAAAATCTCACATAGGAATACCTCGCTAGCTCTAGGAACTCTCTGAAAACAAACAACCCTTAAGAAAATCCAACACCATGAGACATCAAACATAACTCCCATGAGACTAATGTACGACATGCCTATTTTCCAATAGGTTTGTCCAATTCAAACTTCAAAACAAAATTCAAGCATTGGATTACTTCTAAATAAATGAACTTTTCACCATTAAACCAAAACTCACAATCATTCATACTTAATGCAATGACATACATTTGTCAGACTATCACAACATTTAAGCACAACTTTTAGTTGAGAAGAACAACTGAGCATTTAACTAAGCGATATAGTAGAATAGATACAATCTGCTTCCTACTAATGATATAAACGTATACCGGTACAATCGTTATATCTTGACCTGCCATTTGCGATGGGTTACTTTATTCCAACCTGAATCCAAAAATCTTCATATTCCACTTCGAAGGTTCCATTTTCAAAAATTGGAGAGTTTAACATGTCAAATCACTCATTTGAAAAATCTCAACCAGTATTAATCAATGTAATATAAAGGCACGTTCCAAATTATGTACTTGTTGGAATAATCTCAAATCAGTATCAATTAATTCCCCAACTACTTAATGTGCAGAATAGTTATGGAGTTCTACTGCTGTTTGTGTTGATCTACCTTCAACCAAAGTCGCATCATGAACCAAAGCAATTAAGCAAAAATCTTCACATTTCAAATAGAAAGACTCAATTCAATTTGGACAGCGCTTTACACATATCGGTTACCCCTGGACCTGTTGCACTTGTTGTCTTATGATCTTCGTGAACACAATACAATTGAGGAGAGGTGGCTGTCAATGTAGTGGAGTGTTTTAATTAAGTGAATCACCATACAACTGAACAAACAGGATCTTCTTGATTAGCTATCAGAACAGTGGGGCGCGGTAGCTGCAATCCGTCGGTTGCTCCCTCTACGCATTCCAGTTAGAATATCTGGCCTAGGTTGTAGAGATTAGGGTTCAGTCAGAACTTTGGGTAACAGGAAGAGAGTAGGTTCGTGGGGGAGGAGATGACCCAGCGAGTAGAATCGGAAGCTCTGGCGAGGCTGCGATGGGTGCACAATTAGTAGGCCAAATCATAGTTTGGGTCTGTTTAAATCATAACATGTTTTTACTTTCGTGCTCAACAGTCCGGCCGCATTGGTGACTTCTAAATTTACCCCTAAAAAATGGCTCTGGATGCAGCAAATTTGAAATGAGATCCCTCATTTCACATTTCACCTTTATATTATGTGTAGATTGTGATGAGTGTAGATGTAGTTATGTCATTTCCCTACAAATTCATAAACACGCCAAAAAGTGGTGAAATGAGTTACCATATTAAACTCAATCTCGTATAATGATCGTTGGATCCAATCATTTTAGATTAGGAAGATGTTTAAAACGTAGCGGTTAACCCAACTAAAATGTTAAAAGAACTAGTCTCATATAGTTTGCACAATTATATTATTGCTTCATACAAGTTTTGAAAAGGAATAATAACATTTTGTACCCCTCTATTATTGCAAGTTAACAAACGTGCCCTCTACTTTTTTGTGAACAAATGTACACTTTAACTATGAACTCGTAACGAACATGCCCTACTATCTATTTTTTTTATAATTCTTATTTTTCTAAACTCCACAAGCCTAGAAGATGAAGACTTGTGCCCTCCGATAGCCATTCAACGCCGACCGATCAGAGCACATTCAACAAATGCCTCATGCACCTTATTCCTCCAAATAAACCTACTTCGACAAAAATTCCTCAACTCATTCACCAAAAATAATTTTCTTTCTATTGCCCATTTCTTCAAGGAGAAAGCGCGATTGGCTGAGCATGGAGAAGTCTCATTCTCACCCACTTGTGATTGCAACTTTCGAACTATGCTCTTGCCGCCGCTGTTGAAGTGTGCACTCGTCGAATTCGGCTCCTCCCGCCGCCGAGAAGCATTTGGGTGGAGTAGCTTACGCCGGAGGTAGAGCTGATTGCCGGAGGATTATCTGAGGTGGGTTTCGCAGAAGAGGATGATGAACATCGGTGGGTGGCGGGGCAAATGAAGAATAGGAATGTTCAACAATCGACGAGAGAAAGATAAGAATTAGGATAGGTTTTTTTGGCAGGGAGGAAAAAGGCAAAATCGGTAAAAGCTAGGGGTAATGGGGTCATTTCCCACACCATTAAATGGTTAGTAAACGGATTTTTGGATGGAAAGTATTTTTGTTAAGTTTTGATACTATAAGGTCTTATTTGTGCAAAATTATAATAGAAGGGTATGTTTGTTAATTTGTAAAAATAGAAGGGTATAAAATGTTATTAATTCTTTTTGAAAACTAATACTAATTTAAGAATCGACATATTTAATATTGCGCTTCGATATGCAATATTCTATGTAGTGATATTTGGGCTGCAATTTTAGGGTTATCTTATATTTATAAGACAGATAAAACTTTAAATTTAGTATTAAACTACAACTAAAGTGAAGGAAAAGAGGGTGATGGGTCATCAGGAGAGTGGGGGCGTAGCGGCGGGAAGAATGGACCGGCTCCACCATGGCTTTGACGGCGGCAGTGACGGTGGAAGAAGAATTGAGAACTTTGGGATTGCATTTTTTGTTTATGACGGGACTGAGTAACCTTTTACACGGTTAATTGGGTAATCGGTTTGGTAACCGATAACCGACTAGTCGGTAAACCGACATAATTTCGATATCGGTAGTCGATTGTTATCTAGCATTATTCGGTATACCGTTAAGCGATTAGGTTACCGACCGATTACCAACCCTAGTGGCAATCATGCAGTTGGGGTTGACGACTTGCAAACAAAATGGACAAGAGCTTGTTCTTCAGCGGTCCATCATCCATGTTTAGAGGTGGCAAATGGATTGATCCATGGATTGGTGGATCCATGGACCAAATGGATTGGTGGATTCATAGTGGGCTCCGGTTGAAGTGTTATTGCCCGACAAGGAGAAAGAGAGTTAAGCTCAAGAAAGTGAGGGGGGGGGGCAATCTGAAGTGAAGGAATCGACACATCCAGACCCTATGCATGAATCAAGTAAGAGCAAATTAAGGCAGTTACCTAACCCCAGGGAAACAGGAGAGTTTGAAGAATTTCTCCCTAGTCAAGAAGGAATGCCAAAGACTGATGATGATGAACAACCAGAACTGCGACGTTCAAAAAGGCTTAGGAGGTCTAACCCAAAGTATGCAAATGCAGCCATTATAGAAGAAGAGAAAGAGCCAACAAGTTATGAGGAAGCCTCAAGACATGAAAAGTGGAGAAAAGCCATGGAGGAAGAAATAAGAGCCTTGAAAGAAAATGAGACATAGTACCTAAGTCTATGAATGCACAACCGATATCTTGCAAATGGATATACAAGGTCAAAACTCGACCAGATAGATCGGTGGAACGATACAAGGCTTGGTTAGTGGCACGAGGCTTCTCTCAACAATATGGCCTAGACTATGATGAAACATTTAGTCATGTGGCCAAGATAATTACTGTTCGAGTTCTATTAGCACTAGCAGCAACTAAAGGATGGAAGTTGTGGCAGATGGATGTTAAGAATGCATTCTTGCACGGAGAGCTTGACAGAGAAATCTATATGGATCAACCACAAGGTTTTGAAAGTGTCAGACATCCAGGATACGTATGCAAGTTGAAGAAGGCGCTATATGGACTGAAACAAGCTCCACGAGCATGGTATAAATCCAAATGACATCCTCAACCAAGGACCAATATGTAAAATGTGAAAAGTTTAGGTACTAAAATGTCATAATGAAAAATTCTAGGCACCAAAACATTATTTTCCAATGATATTTTTCGTATAAAAAATTAAATTTTGGAGAACAAAATGTAAAATATAAAAAGTATATGTACCAAATCATAATTTGCCATTTGGATCCATGGATCAATCCATGAATCCACCAATCCAATTGGATTTGGATCAAATGGTATAACTCTATCCATGTTTATTACAAGCCGGGATAAAACAGTAATCCCAGCGGCCATTCTGGAACAAACGTCTATGGCCGCAAATCAACCTGTATAGTTAGATCCTTTACGGCGTTTAGTACTGAAGTAAAACAGTAGAGCCCGTGAATAGCAGATCCTACTGGATTTAGGTCTTGGCACGCCTTCAAGTTTTTAGCAACCCATAGAGTGAAGAACAAGCTCTTGTCAAGAAGCAATTAAGCTCTGGAAACACACACGATATAAAATAAGAACACACCAAGAAACAGGCTGGTCTGCTTAGCTAATGAACTACCAACCAACATAGTACAGTAACACAGCACAGAGTACAAGTTCTACAAACTTTTGCAATCCCCATAAGCAATTATTTATTCACAGGGAAAGAAAGACATGCTGGAGGTCGGTCAGGCTTTAGTTATAGCACGAGACCAAGCCAAGGTCTGCTCACAACGCCTCAGCAACAGAGTAACGGAACTCTGTTACAGATTTCTTAAGGAAGCTGCTGCCGCAGTGGTCCGCACTAGCCACATCAAAGCTAATTCCACTTGAAGGATCACCAAATCGGTCGTCACAAATATCCAGCGTTTTATAAGAAGACTTGTCGGGCTTTCTTTGGGTTTGCTTCTTGTCCTTGCTACTACTGCTGGTGCCTCGAGAAGAAGATGTACTGCTACTGCCCTTCTTTCCATTCTTCTTGTTGTGGTGGTGGTGGTTATCTCTCTCTCTCTCCCTCCTCGATTTCTTCTTACTGCTCTTCACCGTGTGGCAGAGAGAATTAGGAACAGGGTCATACACATCAGGAGCCCAACTCACACTAAGCTGCTGCCTCGGTGCCGCCTTACCCAGTTTTTCTCGGCTACCTCTTAGGGCAGATATGAGCTTCAAAGGCCAGATGAAATAAAAAACATGTCAACAGAATGCTACAACAACACCGGAAATGAATGAATTCATCCTATTTGTGAAACGAGAATTCCAAGACCAAAAGCTCCACCCGTGACCCAAAGGTTACATTACCATATACTGTACATTGGTCAGAGGGCAAAAAAGCTAAATCAAAACAACCAGCAACTTCTTTGATTTGTGGGGTGCGTTTGGGTGGTCTGGACTTACTTTTACAGACTTGGTGGCTTGCAGAGGCTCTTCGGAAAACAGCAAGTGCAATGCTTTCTCTGGATCATCATCATTTGATGAATCTAGACTGGAAGCATTGCCGCTAGCACCGGGGAGTGTTGTTGATTTGTCCAAGCAGTTACTTACGACTGGTTGAGGCCCAGATGAGCCCATTGCTTCACAACCTCCACCTTCATCATTGTGGTGCTCTTTATCGAATGTATCTGTTTCTTGAGTACTTTCGGTCCTCAATTTACTAAGATCGCATTCGTTTTCAATCACCAGAAGATCCTCACCAGCACCACGGTAGCCAGCGTCCATCGACTGTACCAAACACAATGAACCGAAAACTGCAGACAACAAGTGTTATGAGCAAACGACACATCGGTCCACGGTTGGCACATTTTGATGCACAGCTCAGCTAGCAAGAATTTCCTAGTGGAAATGAAATCAATGAAATAATTCAACTGCACAAACAGAAAGCCTACTAACATTTCAACTCGATTGAATCAATAAACGGCTAGAAAAAGTAACGCAAACCATCAGACAAATGCAGATTCGGCAATCCAATTCAGCGCAAAACAGAAAGTTACCTTATCACAAAGGTTGAAACAAATCCAATCCGGGATCTCTCGCAGCACGATCAGATAGAAGAACTTTCCACAGGACTTTTCCGGCACAGTGAACCCAGAAGAGGGAGAACAGATCTCAAGAATAGGTAGGAGGCAAAAAAGTGGAGCAAACCGGAGGTGAAAACCGGGAATAAGAAGAAGAAGAAGAAGAAGAATGCTAACTAAGATTACCACGCCGATTACTCTTTTCGAGCCGTTTCAAACGATGCGAGCACATTCCCCCATGGCAGGGTGTTAGAGAAGGAAGAATCGGAGAACGCAGAACGGGAACCGAAGGCATTATATGACCTATGCTCTTCGAAACCCCCCACCAATCCGTTGCCCCGCCACCGCTTCAATCTCTTCAGAACACCTGCGACTTCCCGATGACGTTTCTCAGCTCCCCGCTCACCCAAAAACCTTTATCCCTTTCTGATCCATAATTCTTCTCCGATGAATAAAGGTGAAGCTTCCGTAAAAATTAAGGAGATCTGAACAAGACGGAGATTGAACACATCACCAACACGGGAATGGATCAGGTCAGTAACCTTATGGCGAGTAACCATGAGTAACCCGTCCACATCAGCATGACATCAGCATCCTCTCTCTCATGGAAAGCCTTTAATTTTTCCCTCTTTAATCTTTGACGGACGATTTCTCGCTCATTTTAAGTTGAAATTTAATTTTTTTTGCACAGTTAGATCAGATTAATTGTGCTCTTCAAAATGATATCCACTTTAATATATTTTTCGAACAAAAAAAATTGAGCCATTTTTTACCAGCCTATACCATATGGTATTGACTGGTATTGAAATAAAAGCATATCTATGTTTTGAAAAACGTACCATGGTGGCATGAACAAACCAATACTGTAGGATGGTTGAATACATGATAGTAGAAGTATATTAATTGTAATTTACGACTTTTAACATTGTATACCACACAATACCACCCCGTACCAGGGTGGTATTGTATGGTATTGTGTGGTATTTTTTGGTCCTGTAATTTGTTCACCCAGAAATTTGTAGATCCAATAGATCATGATGAACTCGTCCCTTATGTGCAAACGTTTTCAAAAAAGAATTAAAAACGAAGAAGATACCATACAATACCACCCCGTACCAGGGTGGTATTGTATGGTATTGTGTGGTATTTTTTTGTCCTGTAATTTGTTCACCCAGAAATTTGTAGATCCAGTAGATCATGATGAACTCATCCCTGCTGTGCAAACGTTTTCAAAAACGAATTAAAAACGAAGAAGATACCATATGGTATGCAGTTGGTACCGAGAGGCCAGAATTTTTTTTTCCTAAAAAAATATTGAAAATTGATCTCATTTTGTAGAGCACGGTGAACTCGTTCCATCTGTGCAAAAAAAATTAAAATCCGAGTTAAAACGAAAAAGATATGAGTCAATTAAGAAAGCTAGTGAAAATAAAAATAGTCTTTAATTCTCCATCCTTAGATCTGGATTTTCTAAATGAAGGGTCCAGATTTGGTTATTGATGGGTGCATAACCCATGGTTATGCACCCTATCTTGAGCCCACCAACACCACGGGGACTCAGCTTCGGAGGCGGAGAAAATTTGCAGGCAAACTATATTATTATTATATCTAGAAAGTACACAAGGAGACGGGAGGGTTTGGATCAGTCTGTCAACTTGGAAGTTGGGACGGGAAATATATATCTTTACATATAGATAATAGAGAATATTAAATGGGTTTCGTTTTTTTATTAATATTTATAGAAAATTTTGATTTACGATTATCTCGAGGGCGACTGGGCGAGTCAATGGGGCGAGCTACATGGCGGTTTTCCCGACTCGATACGCCGACATACACGTCTCGTTCTTTTTTCTTCTCCTTTTCTGTAATTTTTGTGTCTTAGATATTTTCAAGAGGAAACAAATAGATAAAAATCGGAAACTTTTTTAAGCTACTATCAAAAGAAATAAGAAGGACGACAGTCAACCAAAGATCGCACCATCGGTAAAACCATAAAAGAGTCTTTTTTGTCACAAAGGGACAGCTCTTTGGTACATTCACGGCAAAGCCAAAATCCCTAACTGTTACCCTTCGGAAGGGAAAAAGCAATGGACCGAGCCTATGCTAACTGAGGGGAGTAGAGCAGCGAATTCCTGCTAGAAGCCACGCCAGAGTTCACTCCAGAACGTGGGATTCGGCGGGGAGACCTCATTTCCCCTCTGTTGTTTATTCTTATGTCCACTGCCCTTTCTTACCTCATTGAGAGAGCAATCAATTTGAATCACATTAAAGGCCTCAAGCTCGATAGGAATTGTCTTATCCTCACTCTGGTAGGCCTGCAACGAGGAAGCATAGGGATGGTTGAATTAGCTCTGGGTTTTGGCAGCTATCTTTGGAAAGGCGACAGTGGAGGAAGCCACCAGAATCATGGGTATTATCGACGAGTACGAAGCTGTTACGGGGCAGGAAGTCAATGGAGCAAAATCGTCGGACTTCTTTAGCTCAAATGTCCATATGAGTGAAAAAGAGGACATCATCACCACCATTGGGTTTGCGCCCATGAACTGCCACTCACAGTATCTTGGTGTCCCAACTGAATGGGGACGATCGAAGAAAGAAACCTTTGCATTCCTGATCAGTAGGATGGAGAAGAAAGGTGACTCTTGGAAAATCCTTCTCCTTTCTCCAGGTGGAAAGGAAATACTCATTAAAGCGGTGCTCCAAGCAATCCCAACTTTCATCATGTGCCTTTCCTCCTGCCTGGTGCAACAATGAAGAAGATGGACTCTCTTCTTAGAAGATTCTTTTGGTCAGGTTCCATGTAGAAGAAATCCATTCACTGGTGTCATGGGGACCATCTTTGTGCTCCAAAAGAGGAAGTAGGGCTTGATTTCCGTTCGTTCAAGGTGTTCAACCTTGCCTTGTTAGCAAAGCAAGCTTCGCAATTGATCGCTGAGCCTAATGCTCTTTGGGCTCGTCTCTTCAAGGGACTCTACTTCCCATCTTCGAATTTTCTGAATGCTCGCAAAGGTTCCAAACCTTTGTGGATTTGGTCAAGGCCGTGGTAGGTAAGAATGCTACAGGAAAAAGGAATTATGCACATTATTGGAAATGGTAGGAACACGATAGTGTTTCAGGACCCTTGGATCCCCTGCCCCAATGGAGGCAAGCTTCTTTACTCCAGACATGGCCATTTGCGAGTGGTGGACATGCGATCCTAGTACCAGGCAGTGGAATGACTCAACCATCAGGGCGATTATCGATCCCCTCCAAGAGGAGTTGATCAATCACATCCCCATTGGAAGAGATGATATGGAAGACTTTTGGGCATTAAGATTCACATCAAGAGGGAACTTCACAGTCACCTCTACCTATGATTCGGGTCTAGTTGTACATATTTTACCCCCATTTTCCTTAGGCGTTTGTGGCAATTGTACTCCTAAAAGGGTGGTTTTACGTGGGGTTTCTTGTGTTTTAGCATGTTTCAGGATTTAACAGGTGAAACCAGCCCCGGAGTCGAACACTGGACGAAAAGGAGCGAAAACCGGGAGAAGAGGTGAAAAACCGACAGTTCACGATTTCTCTTCGAAGTTCACGGTCTGCCGTGAAGAGGAGCTGTTGCCTGTGAACATCAAGGCGTCCATGGCCAAAACTGAAGTTACTGACGCTATGCGAGTTCACGGTTACTAAGACCGTGAACTGGAGCTGTTGCCCGTGAACCTGTGCAAGTGAAGAGGTGCGTTTCGATGCCAATGTTGAGTTCACGGACGTGTTCAAGAGTTCACGGCCGTGAACTGAGCTTGATCCCTGTTTAAAAGGAGAGCTGAAAGGAAGAGAAAGGGAGAGCCAAAGAGTGAGAAAGTGCATTCTTCAGATTTTAGAGTGAGAAAGAATGAACCAAGGAAGGAAGAAGGCTAGGGTTTGCTCCAAGTGGTGAATTGAGAAGATTCTCCCCAAGAGAAGTTCAGCACAAGCTCAAAGAAGATTGGAAGCATGTTTGTTGCTCAAAGAAGATTGGAAGCATGTTTGTGCTTAGCAATCTAATTGGCCATTTTAACCTAGATTAGAGAGGGAATACCCCCTTTCAAGGGAGGCTCAATTGAGTTGGGATTCCTAGGGCTTTCTAAGCCACCTATCTAGGTTAATGTAGGGCAAAACTCCATGTTGAATTAAACAATTTGGTTAAGCGCGATTAAGCCGACCAACCATTGGGTTGAGTGAGGGAGTAAGTCAACCAGCGATTGCCTTGACTGAGAGGGCCACTTGAATAGCCTATAATGTATCCCTCGGTTTGGCAGTCGAGAGTGTGGTCTACGACCATATTTGCGTCCCCTCGCGGTTCGCGGTTACCTTGCCCATAGCAATCACTTCGATTCACATACCATGGTAGTAGTTAGGGGGAAGCGACACCCGAGTGATCCTTCTCACAAAGAGCTTTCAAAACCATGTATTTTGCCTTGCTTTACTTTAATTAGGAAACTTTTCAACCAAAACTGATTCTCTAGATAATGATTCAAATGACTGAAGTAGGGGTACACGGACCGGCCCGAGTCGATATTTAAACATACTTGCCATGTATTGCACCCGACTAAGGTTTATAATTGGACCTTAGGCGGGAATTAATTGTGATATTCAGAGTGAGTCATGTTTTTGGGGCCATTGCCGGGAACAACGGTCTGTTATCTTGAAAAAGTTGTTTGGTGTTAATCTAGCTTTTAATTTTTAGTTTTGAAAGTGTGTGTGCTTTGCTTGTGCTAGACTTGGTGTTGTTTTCTTATTGTGTGTAGGGAGGTGCATGACTCGGAGCAATCCGCCACCTTTGCTACCCCATGACGAGGAAATAAACCAAATTCTCCAACTCCTAGCACTGGAGAGGGTGCTAGCGGAGGCCAGGAGGAGAAGTGAAGAAAGGGGACAATAATTTGGTCCCGGTGCTAGTGGAGAAGAAGTTGATGAAGTGTAAGTTGAACCCCACATTGGAGTAGAAATGGCGGGAAACCAAAGAGAAGCGGGAGCTGCCCAACCTCGTAATCTAAACGATGCGGCGGCGAAAGAGGAAGCCCCGAGGACAATGGGATACTATATGGGCCCATGACCGATGAACATTCAATTACCAATCCTACACCCTCTCGTGGAGGCCAACGATTTCGAGATAAAGCCGGCTCTAGTGACCATGATACAGAACAATGCTTTGTTCCACGATCATGCGACCGAGTCACCAAGAGAGCATGTGCAAAGATTCTTGGAGCTCGCGGGGAGCTTGAAGATCAATGGCATGCCGGCCGAAGCTTTGTAACTGAGGCTTTTTCCTATGCACTTGCGGGGAAAGCACTCCGGTTGTTAAACAACCGCCCACCTTGTTCAATCACCTCATGGGATGATCTTCTCAACAAATTGATGTCCCGCTACTGCCCGCCTTCAAAGACGGCCGAGTGGAGAAAGAAGATTACCCATTTCGATCAAGAAGAAGACGAGACCTTGAGGGATGCTTGGGAGAGATACTCCGATTATTTTCTTCAATGCCCTCACCATGGGTTCGAAGAACAGTTTTGGATTGAAACTTTTTACGGTGGTCTAATCCAAGAAGACAAGATTCTCATTGACTCACTGTGTCAAGGGAAATTGATGAATATGACTCCACCCCAAGTGACCGAACTACTTGAAGAAATCGCCTCAAGGGATACGATTGGCGATTGACGAGAAGTGGGAGGAGAAGAAATGATAGGGGAGTGAGAAGTGTGGGAGCAAGCGCTCCACTTGAAGCAAAGTTGGACAAGTTGATAGAGGTAATACTTGAAGATAATAAGCAAGGAAAGAGGTTGGTGATGTCTTGTGATTGGTGTTTGAGCACTAACCATGAGATGGCGGAGTGCCAAACAATGAAGGAGGCAACCACTCCGGAGGAGCAAGTCAATTTAGTGGCAAATGCTAGGGCTAATAACCTGTATAGCAATACTTATAATCACGGATGGAGGAACCACCCCAATTTTGCTTGGCCAGCACCGACTAATCCGAGGCCCCCAAGTTTCTAAGGCCCCACGGGCAATTATCAACCTCGGCCAACCTTTATCCAACAATGGCCTCAAGTCCAAACTCGAACTTCCAACAACAATATCTCGCACAAGGTGGTCAAGGGTTTCAACAACAGCAACAACCTGACAAGCTATCCAAGCTTAAAGACCTAGTGAACACCTTTGTGAGAACGAGTGCTCAAAAGTTTGAGAAGATTGAGCAATTCATTGATGTGGCGTCTACCAAATTTACCTCGATTGAGGTGGGACTCCGAAGCCATCAAGCGAGCCTCCAAGCTTGGAAGTGAAAATCGGAAATCTTATTGGGATCCTCACCGAGAGACCAAAGGGAGCCCTACCTTCCCAAACCATGGTGAACCCCAAGGATCATGCCGGGGTGAATGAAATTCAAGTGGGAAGTGGAAAGGTGACTCCGGGCGTCGCCGCTAAAGAAGTGATTGAGAAGGAGGATCCCAAACCAAAGGATAGAGAGAAAGTACCCTCGAGGAGAGAGAGGAAAGCGACAAGGAAGGCATCGCCGACACCACCTCCGGTGGTTGAGTACAAGCCACCTCTTTCTTTCCCCATGAGGATGTACAAGGAGAGGTTGGAGAATGAGTGTGGAGGTTTTATGGAAATGTTCCG